TCCTAAAAGAGTGTAAATCATAATGATATAAAGTTTTTATGGCACAAAACTAGCTCCCAGACATCATGTAAGTCAGGTGTGACAGTGTTTACAGAAGAATGCTTGCTGAGAAAGCACCACAGCGAAACAAAAAAATAAAATAAAATAAAAGTACTTTCAGCCTGCACTGCAGGTGACATGTGACACACGCCACACAGTGTGGATGTTTTGGTATTGGATTGCAGGTTGCCACAGAAACACCTCTCCGATACGTGGTGCTGTACTTTCATGTTGACTCAGAAACGTGTCAGCATTCCACACCACCCCCTCAAGGCTTTCCAGTGTTTCCCTGGCCCGGCGTCAAATCACCGAGTGAGAATATTCCTCCTCAGATCTGAGCAAATCGGCTCATTTCTCCAAACCCACCGCTCGCCGACAAGTGCTAGAYCTCTTCTTACGTGGCACTAAAATCACGACTTTGCCTCTGAAAAGTGGGAAGTGGTAGTTAAAGCTTCTGACGTGTTTTTTTCCCCGCTAAATGCTGTATCAGCTTAAAGCAAATGGATTCTTTAAAAAGGTTTCTTATTGTGGCAGTTCCTTCCAGTAGTTGCGTTTTCTCTATTTAAAAGAAAATCCAAAAATAATAGAGTAGGATAAAGAACAGCACAGTAATCAGCGCTGCTAGTTTTTAGCTCGATACAAATGCAATATGCTTTGAAAACAAACACAGCCCAGTTTGTTTTTGGTCTCCTGGGTGTGCCGTTAACCCCTAGGGTCAAAGTGCCTGACCTGATCTCCATCTGCCATCTGACCGCCGCCTCAGCTCGTGTCCACTCATACACGCTGTAATGAAATAAACCGTCGTTCCAGTGTCATAATGCAACGCGCAGCTTCAACCGCCACCTCTGTAGTGACATGTTGCTACGGTAACAAGGCAGGAAACTGACATAACCAAGTTAATTCGTCTCAACATGGCAGCATGGATGTCTCTCGCACGGCGCAGCTCGGCAGAGAAGCGAGCGGCGATCAACGTATCGCCATGTCCGTTTACCTGTGAGGATGTTTTCCGCGTCGAGCTCCATGTTGGCTTTATTCTTCTCCCCGATGTGTCCCATGATCCATTTGGAGCGGCCGTACTGCTGGGTGGCGAGCAGCCAACGCAGTGACTCAGGGAAAATCCTGTCAAAAAGATGGAGAAGAGAGGGGGGGGGGGGGGAGTGAGGGGATGTCCCCGTTAATGGGACATGAAAATAATGAATTGCAGAGAAAAGAGCCCCAACTGTTGAAAGACTGATGGAAATCTCRTTCGGGAAAAGGTTACGAGTGCAAAAAGACGATCTTGTTTGTCAAACACGGCCCACGTTTCAGCACAGACAGCTGCAGATAGAAACACACAGTGTATTCAGGGGTTGTTGCCTTGCAGCCATTGTTCCAGCTGCTGCTGTGTTTAAATGCTATGCTCCATTACCTGCTTTTTGAATCGCAAAACTGTCCATCTAACCAAGTTTTAAAATCTTATATCAGCCAAAAAGTCTTTTTGATCTTGTTTTGAGACTGATTTACTAAACAAGAATTGCTTGTGTAAGAATAATAATCTTGTTTTCAGAATGTATAAGATTATTCATCTTATTAGCCTGAAATTTTGACTCAAATTAAGTCAAAATTTTCTGCCAATGGAGTGAGAAAATTTTACTTGGTAAGATTCTTGAAATAAGAAAAAATCGAGTCAAATCAAGTATTTCAAGAATCTTACCAAGTAAAAATTTCTTACTCCACTGGCAGAAGTTTTTGACTTAATTTGTGCCAAAATTTCAGACTAACAAAACAAATAATCTTACACATTCTGAAAACAAGATTATCATTATTACACAATCAGTTCTTGTTTAGTAAGTCAGTCTCAAAACAAGATCAAAAAGACTTTTTGGCTGGATATAAGATTTTAAAACTTGGTAAGAYCGACAGTTTTTGCTTCGGAGGAATTGGGCGTCTCTTTTAAATTAGACTGCTTCTTAATTAGCCCATATTTGAACTGATTTGTTTCTACAATTTTAAGAAAGTGCTATTACTACATTATTTAGATACATATTTTACTCCCTGCATCCATGTGTCACCTGTCCCCCAAGCTTCAGGTACCAGTAATTTGGTTTGCAAATTTTTTTTAAAGGCATAGGCAATAATCACCTGCCTCCACCACAACTGTCGACACAGAGAAACAAAGTTACACAACAAAGCTGCCTGAATTTCTTTTGGTAGAACAGCTTCACTAAACGTTCTCTTCTGGTGATGAATAACATTTCACAKTTGAATCCTGACGTTCAAGCGAGCTGTCACAAGAACTGCTTGACTGCATGACATAAATTCTATTCAACACCATTTGACCTGTTGCAAAAGAGAAAACGTGTCCCTGCTGGTTGCTTCTGTGAAGAGAAGGCCATAACTTGCAGTTTGCACYGTGTGAACAAATCTAAACAATATTGGTCAGACGGATGGAATAATCAACACAAAATACAAAAAAAATCTTTAACTAAATTCAGTTTAGTGAACAGTTTATGGTTATTTATGAGATAAAACACTGGTCTCAAAAAGCTTTAGGCCTTGAACCATCTTTCAAACAAAAAACACGATTCAGTAAAACAGATACAAGTTTCAACAMTGTTTCGACATTTTACTTACCTACGGTAAGTGCTGAGCTTTTATAATCTGTGCTACAATAAAACTGAGAACTGTAACATAAACCACTACTTTCCCTTGTGGCTAAAGTTTCACTTCTGCTCCCTGTTCTGATAGGACTGATATAATTGTATTACCATTAATGGTAAATGCTCCACTTTTTTTTGGCTTTTTCAGGACTTCTGCCTCCTAACAAAATAAATAATAATTATAAAAAAAACAAGCTTGTAACATTTGTAACAACTTCAATGACCTGGTAAAATGACAGTAATTCATTAACCAGTGGTCACTTTTTTATTGCTTATTGCTTCATTTAAACGTGCCTGTGACAATGACAGAGAGCAATGGCACACTGTGTGTTTGTGTGTGTGTGTGTGTGTGTGTGTGTGTGTGTGTGTGTGTGTGTGTGTGTGTGTGTGTGTGT